CATACTTTTATTTTTATTTATTTATTTATTTTTTGAGACAGGGTCTCACTATGTAGTTGAGACTGACCTGGAACTCACTATGTAGCCCAGGCTGGTCTCGAACTCACAGAGATACTCCTGCCTCAGCCTCCCAAGTATTGGGATTATAGGTGTGTGCCACTACACCCAGCCATTATTACACACTTTTAACTAATCTGTCTTCCCCCCTTTGCTGAGAGGCTCCGCATACTCTGGGACCTTTATATCTCTAAACCCTTAGCCTTTGCTCTCTACCTGAACAGATGTCTGTCCTACTCCAGCCTTTCCCTAGGAACGGGCCCAGCCCTGCACATGAATGTGTCATTCAAGCCTCCTGGGGAATGCATTTCCCCAAGCCCCTACCAACATCTGATTTCCTGGATTTTCCCTTGATGTGTTTTGGTCAGCCTCTTGTTTGTCCCCAGTAGCATCATAGGCTTGGACAGCTGCAGGGTTGTTTCCGCTGAATATCTGACAAACACTCTGGAGACAGATTTCCAGGATCCAGATGGTTTACAAAGCGACAGTTCTCTGGGGAATGAGGCTTTTTGGAGAACAATAAACCCATTCTCCCCCTCTGGTGGCTGCTGGTTGTCGTTGCCACTGTAGTTCTAAGGCTGTTGTATGATTTTTCTTCCTATTTTCAAATAGCACATATGACAGAGATGTGTATAATATTATGCCTACCCACCTTATTAAATATATTTAATCCAAAAGTTTTCATATTATTTTTTTCTTTTTTCAGGTAGATAATTTTGTATCAGAAAATGCCTTTCCCTCCAAATAAAGTTTATAATCTATTTCTTTCCATATCTAATCACCCAGGAATTCTAAAATACCACTAAATATATGCAGACTTCCTGGCTATGTTCCACTTTTATTTATTTATTTATTGGTACCAGGGATCAAACTCAGGTCCTTGCACTTGCGAAGCAGGCCACCTATGTTCCACTTTTATACCCAAATTGTTTCTCAAATAACTATACTGTGGATATTTTATCTCAATAATATTATTATACTTCTCAGTGCACTTCTTAGTCTTTACTAAGACGTTTCAATAAGTATTTTTCTTTGAATGAAAACTTGGTAAAATAGATGTATACTCGCTCAAACTTTCATATGTTTATTTTTGAGACAGGGTCTATGTACCCAGGCTAGGCTTAAACTCACTATCCTCCTGCCTTAGCTTCCTAAGTGCTGGGATCAGGTGTGTACCTCTACGCCCAGCTTGGTCTCTTGAACTTTATACACCATATATTAGACAGATACTTGGTTTGTCAACCACAAATCAAGAACCAACATTAGGAAAACATTTAAATAACATACAATTTCTGGCCTTGGGTGTTTACAATCCAGGCAGGTGAATTTTAAATAATACTAAGTGGTAACTTTATCAAGCAAGCACAATGATAGGGTGCTTGCAGGAAGACCACTTGAGATGAAAAATGCTCACAGAAGATCCCAGGGTAGATTTTATGGTGAAGGGTGGGAGGCTGGCCAGAGTCATGAAGGAGTCTGAGGAACAAGGTACCATTGTATCTGAAGCACAACAGGAGGGAATCATGCAGGAGACCTGCCTGGGCCAGGCTCAGGGCCACATGAGCTGTGATGTGCTGCTGGTCTTTGTTCTAAGAGCAATGGACAGCAGTTAAGGGACAGGTTAGGATTTATATATTTGAAAGATCCCACTGGCTGCTGGTGGAAAAGAGGAGCAAGGGCTAAAAGCCAAAACTGATGTTTGGTTGTGTCAGAAGGATGGATCATGGCTCAAACTCCACAGACAGCACCTCTCAAGTTAGGGTCCATGTGCTTAGTATCTGCACAGGGAATGAGGAGCAGTAAAGCCAGGTGCTGTTCAGGTCTCCAGCTTAAGTACTTCAGAAGACAGACGACAGATGGACAGACTATAGCCACTGTGAGAGCCCCACGCAGACAGGTGTCATGGAGGCCTGCATCTCAGCAAAGGTTTGCACAGGTGAGGGAAATTCTAAGACCTTGGAATACTAATGGTATGAAGAAGCAGAATAAACAGGAATAGGAACAGGAATAATGTATCACTCCAATAGTTAAGACTCTGGGTAGAAGAGAAGCCAGCAAAAGACACTCTTGAGAAACGGCCAGCATCAGACAAGGAATATTTAACAAGGGCTGGGTGGGGTGTGACTCCATGGTAGGGCACTTGCTTAGCATGTGCAGACCCTGGGTTCCAACCCCAGCTCCACAAAAAAGAGAACAGGGCCAGGGGTTTAGCTCAGCGGTTCCACTGCCTGCCTCACAAAAGCAAGGACCCAAGTTCAATCCCTAGTGGGGAGGGGAGAGGAGGGGGGGAGAGGGGGAGAGAGATGGAGGGAAGGAGGGAGGGAGGGAGCTCGTACAAACAGAGTAAGGTTATAACAGCCAAAGGATCCTGGCTTTGAGGTATGCGAAGTAGTTTTACAGGCTGAGATGCTAAGAAAAGCTGCATTCCCGCTCCCTGGGCTCCAACCTTCCGATCCCAGCTTCTGTCCCAGGGCTGACCATGGCTGTGGAAACTGTGTACATCTAGAGCCTTACTTCTTGCTCATCTTTACCTGCAGAAGAGCTGCTTTCAAAACTCAAAGTCTGCTAAGCTGGGCAGGAGTGTCAAACTATGGGAACAAGACCAAAGACAGCAAATAAAAAGAGTTCACAGTAAATACACATGGTATACTATATCCACTTTCAAAATTATTTGGTCCCACGTGGAAAATTTTATTTCAAAAGAAAAAAAAATCACAAATGAACTAATGTAAAAGTTTTATTGAATAAATGCATGCACTGCCATGTAAAGTTAGCTAAGCAAAAGGACATTCTGGGATTGAAATGCTGCCCGCATCTTGCAGTGGACAAATGGCTGGAACTGAAATGAATGCAACAGAAACCCCAAAAGCACTGTCCATGCTGCCTGCACCTGTCTGGGTTCTTGACAGGACCAATCTCTCATTAAAGAATAACTGTGAATGGTGGTAAAGACAGCCAAAAGGCCATTTCTTCTTCTTCTTTTTTTTTCCCTTCAAGGTAGAGCTGTAATAAACAAATTCCTTTTTTAAACAAAATTTTAACTGAAAAGCCACAGTAGATGGAAAAGAAGAAAGGACATTACTTGGTAAAATCCAGTGACATCTACAATCGTTTTACAGCACATTTAAGCATTCTAGGGTTTTATATCTTCACCTGCCTTCCATTTATTAGTTGCTCCTTATAAAATTGCCAATTGCAAATATAGGTTTGACTGAGTGTTTTGCTTTTTCTGGAACTCAAATTCAGGACTAGACTTGAGGCTGCTTCTGTTTTTAGTCTGAAACAGAAAACATCACCTTTGGACTTTATGGCACAGGATAAGCAACCCACGTTGTTTCACCTGACAGAGCTTCACCTCAAATTCACCTAAGGTAATTTTCCCTCCACTGATTTTGGCTCAAAGTAGAAAAGTAAGTTTCCTTTTTCTAGACAATCCATATTTAAAACTAAACGTTACATTTTAAGAACAAAGCAAGGTGTCTTCCTTCACCAAGCCCCTGGATTGCTGAGCACACCTTGAAGGTAACTTTTAGTCTTCCCCTACACAGTTCACGCAGAACCAGCCCTTTCCTCTCTTTCTTCCTTTGTAAGAGAATGGAGGCAGCTATAGAGGACTGAAGAGTCTACAAGTGAAGACCTTGTGCCCAGATTCTTGGCGACAATCTGCTGGCCTCATTGCACTGAGGTCAGCACACTATGGGCTCTGCACTTTGAACTGTGTCCACTGTGCCTAACCATTTAACTTATAAAGCACTGTAGTAGGTAAAGTATACATTGAGCAGAACACACGTATGGGTGCCAACTCCAGATGTTTAGGGTGTTGGAAAAATTATTGGCATGAAAAAATTTCAAGGACTGTTTCTTCTCTTTAACAGACTTTGGCAGAACCCCTTCAATAGACCTTTTCTTTTTTTAATTGAAAAAAATGAATAACATGGATAAGCACCTAGATTTAATGATACTACTTTTCTCCAGCTAAATGTTTAATGTGTATATATGGTCATGTGTGCATGGCACATTAACTCCTCCCAGAGTAAACAGTCTTGTACACTGACTGGAAATGACTTAGAGGCTTTAGAGAAGTGTCCACAGACAGGAGACAGTGAGATTATACTGGCCCTTATGATTATGCGCAACGTGCTGTGTAGCCACAGACATAAATAAATCCACAGCACACAGCATAATTATAAGTGAAATATAATGTGCTCGATGGGAGGAGCATGCGGAAGTAACAATCAGTGCTCACCACAGGCACTTTGGTATGTGTGGTCACAGGAGCTACCCACTGCTGTTCAGCTTTGTAAAAAGCTCTATTTCCCCATGTATGTGTATGTGTTGCACAGGTTCTAATGGCTAAGAAAGCCCCCTCTCCTACTGTAGCTTAAAATGCATATTGAAGCCTCTTTCTGCGCATACTTCCTTTATAGATACGCATAGCTTATAACACTGCTACACAGCTTTACCTTACAAGAGGTTTTGGGGACACTGAAGTATATAAAACATGCTTTTAAAAATCTAAAAAGAAAAGACTCCAAAATGAAAACTATATAACAATACCCTGATAAATGGTCAGTCGTGGCAAAAAATGAAATGTAGGACACAGTGAGGAGCAGCAGGTCCTGCAGGCAACAGAACAGAGCTGGGCCCCAAGCAGGCCTGCCCCTGGTGTGGCGGCAGTAGCAGCAACGAGTGGTTCTGTGTGTGGGATGTGGAGCTAACGCTCACGAGACCCCATTAGTGAGTGGCTATCAGCTCTTACCATGATGCTTTCCCTGCTCACCTCAGTATCTCAACCTCACAGCTTTAAAATGACTGTGAGCTGGGCGTGGTGGGCGCATGCCTGTAATCCTAGCACTCAGGAGGCTAAGGGAGGAGGATCACTGTGAGTTCAAGACCAGCCTGGGCTACATGAGTTCCAGGTCAGTCTCAACCACATAGTCAGACCCTGTCTCAAAAAAACAAAAAACAAACAAACAAACAAAATAAATAAAAAAATAAAATGACACTGTGCACTTCGGCCCTCAAAGGGTGGAAACGGGACCAAGCCGTCTGTGACAGCCGCTCAATGCTAACATGGAAAGGCTGTCCCTGGCTCTGGCAGCATGACATGTGTCTCTCACTACTTTGTGAACAAGTTCCAACAAGCTAGTGGAATACACTGAAGATATTTCTTTTTATGTGAGAAATTCCAAAGCAGCACACATGATTTATGAACCATGATGATTCCCTGGATATTTTGTTTCTTTGTAAGCCTTGACTTTATATTTATGAAAATGTTAATACTTTGAACACTTTTTAATAATGGGCAGAAATATCGTAATATTTACTGATCTTTTCACCTTTTTCTTTTATAAAGAAACAACACGAAATATGTTACTGAGAATGTTTTGCTGCAAAGATGAAAATGAGTATTTGCCATAAGAATTCAGTAAGTTTTAGAAGAAAATATGTATTTCTTTGATCCATTCTTTTTCAGAATCAAAACCAGCGTGTAGACATTATAAAAAAAATAGTCTATTTACATAGCATGGTGCACTACAGTGCTGTACAAACAAGACAGCAACACACGTCCAGGTGCTGGCCTCCTAGTGGGCGCAGATGACCGCATCCCACTGCACACACAGCAAGCAGCTAGCCAAGCCTGGAGGAAACTCAGCAAAGTCAACAATAGTATTGGCCAAATTTGCCTAAAATGCCAAGTTTTTATAAAATTATTATGGTATATATAATGAAATACACGAAATTATAAAAATAACATTGGTACATCTGTGAGAGGGTGTGTCTGAGTAGAAGTGGGCAGGTGGTCACTGAAGAGGTTGCCTCGCATCCAACATGGCTACGTCACCACCTGAGGTCGCGTCCCATCCTCTGTGAGGTCATACCTGAGAAAGCACAGAGAGCATGGCAGAGGGGTCAGGCTCACAGCCTGTTGAATATACACCCAGAACCTAGCCCTGCCACTACTTGGGGTAAGGAAACTCACCACTGGGTCCAGCCCTTGGCGAGTTCTTCAGATGCTAGAGCCACCAGCACCTGGGGAAAGAGAGTGCTTTTTGAAATGGGCTGGGCAGTTCCTTTTAGATCTGCTGCCTGTCTAATCGTCTCCTGTCTTAATCTAGCAATATGGAGCTCTCTTCCCCTTTTGTCGAGACTTATTTTTATTCTTTTTTACCTTAATGATTAATTTGTAATAGATTATGCTTGATTATAACCAAGAGATCCCACCTGTCTCCAGCAGTTGTATAACTAAGTTATCATGAAACATCAGTGAAGACAGTCCCTGGATGCTGCGTGATGTTGTCAAGGGCAGCAACTGTACAGACAGCTTGTTACTGGTGCTGCTGACAGCACACATGGGTTTATTGTGCAACACACTTCCCTGGCTTGATGCTGATGTACACAGGACTGAGGAAGACGTAAACTTACTCAAAAATTAATGGTGAACATGGACAGAGATGAGCTAAGGACTTGCTGGAGAGAGAGCAGTGTAACCAGTGGGGGAAGTGGGTTGGATGAGATGATTTTCCTTTGTGGTTTTTACAATGTTGTATTGAACAAAAATTTAAAAGCTTGAAAAATCAGTCTTTTTCAACTAAAAGTTCTTGCTATCAGTATGATTAATAAGCTAATAATATGAATACATAAAACCAATGAGAATAACTTAAGAAATATCTTCAGCCTGAACCAAGTATTTAGCACACTATTTTACAAATAGCACTAGCTGTAGGATAAGCTTGCCCTTTCTGCTAATGTGTGTGCCCTTCAGAGAAGGGTTTTAGTTGTGCTAAGTGTAGTAACCTGTGAAGATTTCCTTATGCTTACTTTGCCAAGAAGCCCTTTGTCTTTGGACAGGAAGCCGCCGCTGTTCTTCACTGCTACATCCAGTGTTCTCCTCTGCACCTCAGGGAGTGACACGTTGAAATCAAAGCTGCGAGGGACCAAGGAACTTTCTCTGTAATTCTGCTGTACTGTATCTTCTTTCAACTAAAAACTGTGTTTCTGCCTATGAGATCATTTTAAAAATTATGTTTTTGTCCTTGTAAAATCAGGTTCTCCTTTTAGTGTGTGTAGGGCACGAGTCTGCTCTTTAACTTACTTACTAGAGTGAAAATATAGGCAAGTGAGGAGCAACTTTAGAGATAAGACAGCTGAACCAACACTGATTTACTATTTGCAAAATGCTGCCAGAGTACAACATATGGACAGACCATGGTCCGAGGATGCCTGGACCCATGAGACTGACCACACTAACAGTGCCAGCCTCTGCTAAGCTGGAACACTCAACAGAATTGCAAAATGTAATATTATTATGTTGCTATAGAATAGATCCCCATTAACAGGATTTGTAACTTCCTTTATTATGTTTAGCATTCAGATAAGAAGTTTAAAATGATTATTAACAAGTGTACATGTGCTACACTGTGGTGGAGTCTGCCCCTTATACTTCTTGGCAGAGCACTGGCTGCATGCCTTAGGCACTCAAAGGCACTTCTAAGGCCTGGCTCTGCTCACTTCACCCGTCTCCCTCAGCCGAGGGAGTATATATCATACCTCTGATCGAACACAGGGTTTAACGTCTTCTTTGACACGTGTGTTTTCCTCCTCCCTGACCTCCTCTTGTCTGGCAATAAATACATGCGGACATATGGGTCAGAGCCATCTTCTGAGAAAGCGATGAGATTTCTTGTAACATGGACCAGAAAAAATTATATATTAGAATTTAAGAAAATGAGAGCACTATTGCATTCACATTTGCTGTATCACATTTTGATTTCATATATATCTAAATACCAAGAAGAAACAAGAAAGCTAGGGTGTAGCACAGTGTTTGAGCTCTTGCCTGTCATACAAGAGACCCTGGGCTGCATCCCCAGCATCTGTGTGTGCATGTTTATGTGTGTGTGTGTGTGGGGGGGGTGACAAAGGACAGTGAGGAGTAACTGACAGCACATTCTGTGAGGCCTTCCCCACACCTGCCTGCTGGCTTCTCTCTCAATGGCTTTGCCAGAGGCAACTTGACTCTTATTTCCAGAGTTCAGAGTCTGGGGGACATTCCAGGTCCTTGCTCTGCTTCTAACATGTCTTTCCATCACATTTCTAGTGGTTTATCCAGATGAAGAAACAAGTCAGGCTTTGGCCAAGCGAACCGGCCCCACGTGTCCTGTGTGGCATCCTGGTTCCCTCTGTTGCCTGCCTGGCCATTCACTTTCACCCATCTAGCCCCTGCACAGGACCCACCTCCTCCATTCAGCCTGCCCTGCTCTTTGCCTAGGACAACGGAAATGGGCCAGACCAGTCTAGAACTTGTCCTCACGACCACTCTGGGCTCTGCACTGACTGGTAACCAGCAGTCAGTGGGCAGGTGTTGATCGGCACTCGTCATGGCCTCTCTCTGAGCAATAATCTCAGTGGCAAGAACATACAAGGAACAACATAGTCACTGAACTGAATTCTATGTTTACTAATTTTATTTCCCTGTTTCCTACAGGTTTTTATTCTATTATTTTTTGTTTGTTTTGAGATAAGGTCTCACTATATAGCCCAGGATGGCCTCGAACTTCCTGCCTCAGCCTCCCAAGTTATAGGTGGGTACCAGCTCCTACAGGCTTTTATAAATGCTAAATATTTATATCTTTATTTTTTTGGTACCAGGGATGGAACTCAGGACCATACACTTGTGAGGCAAGCACGGTGCTACTGAGATAAATCCCTGGCCCTATATCATTATTTTAAACAACTGTCAAATGGCCCATACCATTATCCTTAATCAAATACAAACTAAAGCAACACTGTCATCCCACTTCAGATTTACAAAATTGGCATACTACACTAGATAAATAAAATTTTTTGACTGTGGGGGGGAAAGGTACACCCATATCCTTGGAATAACCTGTCAACTGTATGCTCTTCTTTCGAAGACTACAGTAATACCTATCATAAACCTAAAAACTTTTTTGATCTTTTGATCCAAATTTTCCTACTTCTGGAAATTAAATCCAAAAAAATAGTTCAAAACAAGTTCATCATCAAAATTACATTAATACAGATATCCAAGAAGGCATATTATATACTTGCATAAATTACATTATAGCAATTCAAGGGAGCATTATAAAGCCACTAACATGGTTATAGATACAACAGAAATGTTTGTAAAGTAATGTTAAGAACAAAAAAGGAATAAGTTATTTACTGGGATTTTAGTAGTGAAAAATACAGGGTTGTAAAGACCAGAATCCAGAAGAGAATGTAAGACATGAATGACGTGTGCACATGCATGCATGTATGTGTCTGTGGATACATATAGGAGGCATATGTGCTTGTGAGGGGGATAGAATGATGACTGATTCTCTCAAAATTCTCTTTAATGTTTCTTTTTTTTTTAATCATTCAAATAGCTCATTGAGGTTTTTCAGCTTTGCCATAGACTGGGGAAATCTTTAACACATTTAAGCTGTTTTACATGCATTTTTGTATGTTATAAACAACCTAGCAATTATTAATAAAAGCAAAAATGTTCTTCAGTTTGCTTATACTTCTTTTGAGAGAAGAAAATATTCTAATAAGTCAATGAGAGAGTCTTTCCCCAACTCTCCCCTCCTTCAAACTACCACAGGATAAAACAAAATCACTAAACATAATTCACACCTATGAAATATACTGATTTTATCTGTTTGCTCTACATCGTAGTTGAAGAGAGATTTCGTACTAAAGAAAGGATCAGAACTTCCAGCAGCACAGGAAGCAGGTCCAGTTGTTCTGCTCTTAAAAGAGCCATGTGTGCCCCGCCTGGGGGCCAGCAGCAGCACTTACAGTCCTGTGTCCTGGGTCAAGAAGGAGGCAGGCACCACTTACCTGCAGGAGTGTACCACCACGATGAGCTTGTTTCTCTGGGAGCTGTGCCGGATGGTCAGCTGGATCTGCCCCAGTGGAGACTGCCCCAGCATTGTGCCACTGTGGGAAGCAGAGCAGGTCACCAGGTATGTACAGTGGCACAATACACATAGCAAGGTAATGCACATTTATCTAGACAGAAAGAATTTAGATTACCCATGAACTTAAACAGAATTTGAAACTTTGGGTATAAGTTGAATTGAAGTTGTATTTCACATGAGGGTTCAATACAACTAAATTAATCAAAATCAGTAATATTCCACTGAGAGGCCAAAGTAAAAGGAGATAAATCTCTCTGTTGGATACCAGTTCTTTGGCCTTTGCTCAGCAGTCTACCTTGACTATCACCAGCCCTATACCCCCAGGTGAGCCCCAGTATACCCTCCTTCTACTCTCTGCTTGGGGAACAAGCTCTGGGACAGTGACTGTGCTCACTCAGTATCCTCCAAGGTCATTTAGCTACTCCCCAAACTGCAGCCCTGAGAACAGGTGGTTTCTCATTTAAAACTGTTTTCTTCTAGAGAGAAGAGACAAAATTCTTTTTTCCAAAAACAATGGATATGAAAAAGAATAAAGGAGAGCTGGGCATGGTGGCACACTCCTGTAATCCCAGCAGTTGGGAGGCTGAGGCAGGAGGATCGCTGTGAGTTTGAGACCAGCCTGGGCTACACAGTGAGTTCCAGGTCAGTCTCAAATACATAGTGAGAGCCTGTCTCAAAAAAAACAAAAAAAGAAAAAGAAAAAGAATGAAGGAAAAAGTATATGGGATCAGAGAAGGCCTCATAGACACAGGCATGGCCTCGTGCCTCCTGATGCTGTCCTAACCATCAGGCACAGTTAGCATTTTCACCTTTGCCTCCAAGTCTGTTTCTGTTTCCTCACCACACAATACACCTCTTCTACCAACAAGTAGGAAGAACAGTTTCAAAGGTCATTTTACTTCTACCTAAAGGAAGCGTTAACATCTGAAGCTTGTGATGACTAGGCTAGTCTACCTTATTGAAGAAACCATTAACATATCTATGAACCATAGAGCTTAATTAACCCACACTCAGGGTTGGGGATTTGGCTCAGTGGTTCCACCACCTGCCTCACAAGCACAAGGACCCGAGTTCAATCCCTGGCACGACCCCCGCCCCAAAAAAAACCCAACACCCAAAGACAAATAGGAACTAGTCAGGAGTACCTGGACACTGGCCCCACATAAAAGACCAGGGCCAATTCTTACACTACAAAAAGAGCCAAGCTTTCTGCCAGACCATCACCTGTCCCACATTAGGAGTTGACAGTCACCCTTTGAGTCTGTCTTACTGGCATGAGAGGTGCTCAGTAGCTTCAGAGCTCTTAGCTTTCTGTAATTTTCTTTCTTTTTTTTTTTTTTTTTTTTTTTTTTTTTAGTTTTTTGAGACAGGGTCTCACATGTAGTTGAGACTGACCTGGAACTCACTATGTAGCCCAGGCTGGTCTCAAACTTGCAATGATCCTCCTGCCTCAGCCTCCCAAGTGCTGGGATTACAGGCATGCACCACCAGGCCCGGCCTTTTCTGTCATTTTCATTTGTGATAGCTCTTACTCCATCATTTCCTCATATTTAAATGAGGAGGTCCTAGAAAATGACAGGTCTTATTTTCTTTTAACAGTAGCAAAGATTATTCAAGAAAGTAAGAGTGGGAGAAACTGGCTCTGCAGAGGAAGCTTGGACAGAGTAAAGAGGAAAAGAGGATAAAAGCCAAAATAAAAGTATATGCTGCATCTGGGAAACACAGCATGGGCTACTGTAGAAAGTTACAATAGCTTTTTTTTTTGTTTTGGTACCAGGGATCAAACTTGGGTCATTGTGCTTGTGGGGCAGGTGGTGGAACCACTGAGCTAAATCCCCAGCCCAGTAGCTGGTTTTTTGGAGACAGGATCTTGGTATGTAGTTCAGTCTGGCCTTAATTCACTATGTAGCCTCATCTGGCCTCGAATTGGCAGTGACCCTCCTGCTTCAGCCTCCCAAGGACTGGGATTACAGGTGTGCACCATTATGCCCTGTGACAGGTTTTATTTTGATTTTAGTTTATGTGCTGCAGAAGTGAGCACAACAAGTTTTATTTTGAAAGTCAAAGACTCAGGCAGGCAAAAGTGCAACACAACCTGAAATTTCTCCAGCTAATTTAAGATGATATATTCTTCCCCTCGGAGGGCATGTTAACAACAAGCTCGAGGGCTAACAGCCATTGTGTATGTGTCGGATGTGAACTGTGGCAGTGTTAACAATGGCAGTGTAGTATGTGGACCTGAACTCTGTGCTAACGAGCCCCAGGCTATGTCATAAACTCTGTGTCAACAGCCCATGTTATATGCTGAACTCAGCGTCAAGAACAGCCCTGTGGTATGTGGGACCTGAACTCTGATGGTGTTCATAGCAACCCTTGCAATATGTCAGTTGCCTCGCTGGCCTTGATAAACAACAAAGTGGGCATGTAGTTACTTTTCTAGTTGTCGCAGCCTCTGCCGCAGCTCCTGGGTGGCAATGGGCAGAGATATGTCTGAGGCGATGCTAGGTGTAGGCTCTTTGACAGAGGTATGGCTTGGTGAGGCCAGGAGGCTGGAGGTGCTTCTGCCCAGGTCACGATGGGCTGGAGGGCCGGCCTCAGAGGGCTGGGCCTTCTCTTCTGCACCAGGTTTCTCTATGACCCCGACCCCGATGATGGGTGTGGAGGGAGCTGTGCTGCTGCGACTGGTGGCTGGAGATGCAGACACCTGAGACTTGACAGGCATTTTCCTTCCTTCTTTGGAAATGGAGGGTCGTTTCACTTGAGCTGAATGTTGGTAGTCTGGAGGCCTTTCTTGCTTTTCTAGATGGAGCACCTAGAAGTGGAAACAAACACTGAAACCAGTGACACTGGCAACATCCTGATACTTGAGTGGCTCTAGCTGCATTTATCTAAAAGTATTTCTTTAAAACTTGTCCCAAAACATTTAAAAAATCCAGTCTTATCTGTTCAGCTATTCTATTATTAAAATAACGCCATACTACAAAAAGTTTAGGGCTGGGGATTTAGTTTAGTGGCACCATGCCTCCCATGTAAGCTCAAGGTCCTGAATTCCATCTCCAGTACCACAAAAACAAACAAAACAAAACAAAAAGTTTAGAAAAAGGTTAAGTAATCAAAACATTGCTTCCCAATACAAGCACTATTTTGTGTGTTCCTTTATCTGCCTCTATTTATACATATTCCTACTCAAGTGAGAGAAAATGTTCTCCCTACAGAACCCTGTTGAGTTACAAGTCCTTGACAGAAGCCTAAATCCCTTGCTCTATACAATGTTTGCACCAGGAATTTGCAGAGAAAAGAAGAATGTCCTGAAGACCTGGTATCCAGCAGGATTGCCCCATCAGCAAGGTGGCACCAGTCAAGGGACAGCCACACCCCCAGTCTGGAGCAGCATCAGTGGGGCTGGGCCATGACGACCCTGAGCACAGTCTACACATGGCCTACAGAGATGGCCTGAGGACTTTTTCTGTTTCTGAAATAAAGCAGCAGTAATCATCTTTACATTCAGCAGCCTCCCTACATTCTGCAGGATTAGCAAGTCAGATGTCAGGAAACAGGAATACTAGCCCAAAGGACAGTAGGATCTATGGCTTGGGGATACTGCAGTCCTTTCTAAAATGCTGTGTCAATAACCAGAGTCTTGGCCAGTACGAGGAGACCACTTCTACTGCACCCTTAGCAGACTGAGTCCATGTAGGTTCTACTCTCTGTAGGTTTTAATAAGCTCTCTCCCCTGAGCATATTGCTTCAGCTATAGTTTTCATCATCACAGAACTGCCTGGGCATATGGCACCATCCACCACACTGGCCAGCCCAGGACCAGCACTCCAGCAGCCCCTTTTCCTCCCACCCTGACCAGTTTCCTGTAAGGATGAGGGCCAGATGTACCCTGAGGGCAATCTTCATCTTCAAAGTGCTGTTGGGCCCTGAGTTGCTGAGTTGGAAGCGCTGGTTCACAGTCATGTCTTCACTCCCCAGCAGCTGACTGAGTGGGATCCTCAGGCTCCCCAGACTGCACTGGTGCTGCTCATCTTTGACCTGCAGAATTCAGGATGGAAAACACACTTAGCTCAGGAAAGGTGTAGAAACTACAGAAAACGTAGAAAGGTACAAAAATTCTCTTTTAAGGAATATTTTTAAAAGAACCCAGAAGATATTTTGGCCATATTCCTCATCTCCAGCTGGGGACTAAACTCAAGGAGCTACATTCCCAGCTCTTTTTAAAAAATTTAAGCTGGGGATTTAGCTCAGTGGTTCTGTCACCTGCCTCACAAGCGCAAGGTCCCAAGTTCAATCCCCGGCACCAAAAAGAAAATAATTAATTAATTACTTAATTGATGACAGGGTCTTGCTAAGCTGCCCAAACTGGCTTCAACGTCACCATCCTCCTGCCTCAGCCTCAAGTTGCTGGTATTACAGACATGTGCCACCACACCTGGCTCCAGCCATATTTTTTAAAGTAGTATTTCCATAGATGACCAACATATCAGAAAACTTTCTCAGCAAGACAAAACTGTCGCAAGCAAAATATCTGCCACATGTGTTTCACATTTGCTCATGACAAAACCACAATGAGCATAACAAAGAATATTACATTCTATGCATCTGTTACAAAAAACGAGCTAGGAGGTAACGGTCTACACAAATCTGAAGATTAGAAAGAAATGTCAGTGAAAATGGAATTAAAAGACCATAGGTAGCACTGTGTGAAGTTTCTATAGGTGACACTGGTTTTTTTTTTTTTTTGGATACTGGGGATCGAACTCAGGCCCTTGCGCTTGCATAGGTGAAATTTATGGACAAAATGCATTTTTAAGTAAAAATTTTTAAGCCATCCCCATTCAAAATCTACATGATAGTTTCAAACATTTATAATATCTACTTTAAATGCATGGTAATTTCTTTATCATGAATAACAGTAACCATTTAGCATTAGCTCTGTAAAATGAAGCAGAATCCCATCATGCTGTACAAAACTATGATCAAATAAAGAACTCTTCAGCTTTCACAGCTGCTGTGAAAATGGTCAGAGAAGCTAAAATATAATTTCACAGGAAAATCTAAAATCCTGACTTATTTCTTTTAAAACTATAATCAGCCAGGTGTGATGGTGCATGCCTATAATCCCAGCACTTGGAAGTGGAAGCAAGAGGATTGCAGAGAGCTTGAGGCCAGCCTAGGAAATAATGAATTGAAGGGCAGCCTGGAATACATGAGACCCTGTCTCAAAAAACAAAACAAAACAAAACAAAATCAGAGAAGCAATTTAAATGAAATAACTATGATATAGTGTTCATAGAACCTCAAAACTTATTTTTAGGGGCCGGGGATTTAGCTCAGTGGTTTGGTGGCCTGCCTTGCAAGCGCAAGGACCCGAGTTCAATCCCCGGTACCAAAAAAACAAAACTTATTTTTAAAATTCAAGATCCAGTAAGTGCAGATTATTTTAAGAATTTAAGAAGGAGGCCCAGCATGGTGGTGCATACCTATAATAGCAGCACTAGGGAGGTTGAGGCAGGAGATCACTGTGAGTTTGGGGCCAGCCTAGGCTACACAGTGACCTCAAGACCAGTCTAAAGATAAACTACACGGTGAGATCCAGTCTCAATTAATCAATCAACGGTCAATAAATAGAATTTATGAAGGAAGAATTGGGTAAAATAAAATTATTTTGAACAAAATAGGATATATATGAAGATACAGAACAACAAACAGAAATAATGATCCAGGGCATAGCTGTCAACAATGGTTAACATCTGTTTAAAGACATCCTGGATGCATGGGGCAAAAACAAACCAAAAGGAAAAACATATGGAGTCATAGAAAAGGGTACACATTCAAGCTCCAAGCTTTTAATCCCTGACACAGCAGATAGATGGGAAAACGAGGAGGAAACAGAGGACCTGAGCAGTACTACCACCACCCACTGTGGCAATGGATGTCCAGAGAGCATATGTCTCACAGCAAGAGGCACTCTGGGTAAGATTCTGGCAGGAACCAAGAGGTACAACACCAGGCCACAAAACTAGTCTCAAAGGAAAAGGGCTCAAGTCATATCAAGTATGTTTTCTGAACACTGTATGCTGAAATTAAAACTAGAGATCAAAAAAAAAAAAATCCCCAAACACTGGGAAGTGAAATAACAGAACTTTAATAACTTGTGAATCAAGAAAAATCAGAGAACTTATTAAGGAAATAATAATCAAAAGGGGAACTATCAAAAGGAATACAAATGAAACCACAAGAAGTCAAAATGTAGCTAAAGCAGAATTTAAATAGAACTATATCTAGCTGGGCATGGTGGTGCAGGTTTGTAATACCAGCACTCCAGAGGAAGAGGCAGGAGAGTGGCTGAGTCCAAGGCCAGCCTCGACTACAGTGAGACCTTGTTTCCCAAAATAAAACAAAACAAACAAAAATCAATAAACCTCTTGCCAGACTGAGTGGGAAGGAGAGGGGAGAATACAAACATTACTGTGCTACTAGGAGGGAGACCATGCCTTCTGAGGGGTACACCTCTAGCGCTAAAGAACAGTCCTACCAAAGGTCAGCAATATAAAGGAAATGAATGAATTCCCCGGATGGCAAAAATAACAAAACCCATCAGGAAGAAATAGATAACCTATAGCTCTATGTATGCACTGACAGAACTGAAACATCTTCTTACAAATAAAAGTACAGGCTACTGAGCATATAAGACAAGCTATTCAGATTCTAAGCAAGTCTTTCTGGAAATCCAAGAGGAGGCGACACTCAATTCACCATGCCAGCATTATCACGATACCAAACTAAAAAAAAAAGACACCATAAGAAAACAGAATTACTAGGGGCTGAGGATTTAGCTCAGTGGTTCGGTGGCCTGCCTTGCAAGCACAAGGACCCGAGTTCAATCCCCGGTACCAAAAAAAAAGAAAACAGAATTACTGATCAGTAGCCTTTATAACTAAGATCTAAAAAATGTTAACAATCATAACCAAGTAAGGCTTATTCCTGAATAAAGGTTTGCTAGCAGGTTTTCAAATGCTAACCTTGAAAACCAAAGGTTTTAAGGTTTATTTAACATCTGAGAACCAATGATGTTTTCACCATAGCTACAAACTTGGAAAACTACATAAAGATTTTTATCACCTTTAGTGAATTCAACATTCATTCATGATTACAAATGGGAAGGATTAGAAAGAAACTTCTCAACCAGACAGAAGGCACGTAGGGCAGGGGCCAGGGTTTTCTTGAACCAACCCTGCACCCTGCCAGGCTGAGCAGAGCTAGTAGTTGTGAAAAGTAAGTGAAGGCATCCAGATGGGAATGAGAAGTACAAGTGTGATTACTATCAGACAGCATGACTGTCCCCATGAAAAATCCTAAGATACAAACAGCTACTAGAACTAAGAAGAAGCAAATTTAGGGTCGGGGATTTAGCTCAGTGGTTCTGCCACCTGCCTTGCAAGTTCAAGGTCACAAGTTCAGTCCCTGCACCCCCCCACACCAAAAAAAGAAGAAGCAAGTTTAGCATGGTTTTGAGATCATATCAATACATAAAAAATAATTATATCCTAGTTAAAAAGAGAAAAATGCCATTTCTAATATTGCTAAAAAGTTTGAAAACACTTGGAGATAAGCAAAGATGTATGTGATGTATAATGTACATTAAAAAGTATAAAACACTGGTGAGAGAAGTTAAATACCTACATATATGGAATACAATGTTTCTTTTCTTTTTCTGCTTTTTTGGTACCTGGGATCCAGCTTGGGATCTTGTGCTTGCAAGGCAGGCAGTGGAATCACTGAGCTAAATCCCCCGGACCCTGGAATACAATGTTTCTATAGATTGAAAGATTTCACAATGTTGAGATGTCAATTCCACTCACTTTATCTATAGACTTAATGAAGTTCTCATAAAGATTTTAACAGATTTTATGCATAAACTGACAATCTGATACTAAAACTCACATGGAAATGCAGACTTAGAATCACTAAGACAACTATTAACAAAGTTCCAGCTACTCAAGAGACTGAGGCAGCTGGGGGCTTAGGTTAGCGGCACCACACCTGCCTCACAAGCACAAGGTCCTCAGTTTGATCCCTAGTACAAAAAAAAGAGAGACTGAAGCAGGAGGATTATAAGGCTGGGAGTGTAGCTCAGTGCTAGAGTATTTGCCTAGCATGAGTGACGCCCTGGGTTCCATTTTCGGCACCACAAGCACATAAACATGAAAACAAAGCCTGATCCTAGCATCAGTTGAGTCTAGAATCCGGGCAGAGAGCACCAGTGATGAAGACCGAGGTCCTGACACAGGACAGAGGTTCAGGAAAGTGTGGCAGAAGGCACTCCAGAAGCAGACCCTCACTTGGAGCTCTCTGTCCCCATGGTCACCGAGCTCATTAAAAAGGTACAGCATCAGCTCTTCAACAAATGATGCTGAACAATGGGACAGCTATCTATCTGAGAAAAAGAAAAGAACAATGACTCTTCCCTTATCTTGTAAAGGAAAACTCACTGGACATAGTGAGTTACACCTGAGTTACACCTAAGTGTAAAGTTAGAAACATAACCTCCAGAAGACAGAGAAGACAAAGGCTTAAGAACCAATGGTCTGGCAAATATCTCTTAAATAGGACACAAAGAGGATAAACTAAAAAGAAAAGGGTGATAAACTGAACTGTGTCAAATTTTAAACTTCTGCTTTTCCAAACACATTTTTTGTTGTTTGTTTTTGTGATCCTGGGGCTTGAAACCAGGGAACACTGAACTACAATCCCCATCCCTTTTTGTTTTATTTTTAGGTAGGGTTTTACTAAGTGGCCCAGATGGGCTTTGAACTTGAGATCCTCCTGTCCCAGCCTCCTGAGTAGCAGGGATGACGGACGTGTGCTTCCATGCTTGACTTCACTTGTAAAATGGAAAATCAAGCAGAAATTAATGTAGAAAACACATCCAAAAAAGTAGTTTTTAAGGATATATTAATCTTACAATTTAGCATTAAGAAGATAAGTAACCTAACTCTCCAAAATAGGCAAAGGAATTGAAGACACTTCTCTATAGTGAAGACACAGACGGCAAGTGAACGTATGAAAAGATGCCCTCATCATTAGATCACACTGAGACCACAAGATGCTGCTGTCACCCTCCCAGATGAGGACACACATCAGGGGACACTCGGAACAGCAGAGAGCATAGAACTGACATGTGCTATTTCTTTCCCATGTATGCATATCAGTGATGCAGTTTAATTTATAAAGTACACACAGTGAGAGATGAACAATAAACAGAACAACTTTTTTTTTTGTACTGGGGATCAAACTTGGGACCTTGTGCTTGCCAGGCAGGTGTAGAACCACTATGCTAATTTCCGGGATACAGAACAACTTTTAACAATATGGTACAATAAAAGTGATTGAATGTGGTCTCTCATGTACTCTCAAAATTAGTCTTACTGTGCCAGGTGTGGTGGTGCTCATTTCAAGGCCAGCCTGAATCACACAGGAAGATCCTGTCTCTGTCTGTCTGTCTGTCTGTCTGTCTCTCTCTCTCTCTCTCTCTCACACACATACACACACGCAAATGTCTGACTGTACTGTACTCTGTGTTCTTATAATATGGCCCACAGTTCAGACTAGAACCAACCATGCGTCCATGTGTAAGAAGCTGTAGGTTTGGGTTGCTGTACTTCTTATCCACTAATTGGAATCTTGGCAAGGTGTGCAGAAGGCATCACTGTCATGCACTGTGATGGAGTGTCCCATAGCACCTCCACTTTGGGGACAACCAGTCATGGTATGGAGAAGCTAAATATGCACCAACAGTCTATTCCTAGGCATATGCCCAGACTATGGAATGGAGGGACACTCAAAGACTGAATACTCATAGCAGACTGATTTGGGATGGATCTAGGCAGGAAGAACCCAACCTTTAACAAGCTTTTACTGACAAGTGAATAGATAAACCAGTTGTGGCACATCCATCCCATGTAACACTGCCCAGCAATTAAAAAAGGACAAGCTACTCATATCTGCAACAACACAATAATTACATGAAATAGTGCACGCAAAAAACCCCCACAAACTATAAAATTCCATTTATATAAAATTCCAGGAAATGAGAACAGTGATTTACAGTGGTATAGTATAAGGCAGATCTGAGAGGTGTGTGGAGATGTATGGGGCACAGAAGGAACTTTTTTAAAGGATATATTATCTTGATTGTGATAATGGGTCCATGGGTGTTTGTATGTAGGTCATAATCCAGCAGATTGTACACCTTATATATGGGTAGTTTATAGTAGGTCAATTATATTTCAACAGATCACTGAAAATATACAAACAACATACCTCAACCTCAAGATCTTGCCGTTTGGGGTTGTGAATGAAGAAGGTGAAGTTTTCCTCCCACACAGGTTCACTGGTTTTATAACGAATCTGGAAGAAATATATCAATATCATCTCTCTGACCTTTTCTGTAGCAAAGAGCTACCGATATTGTGCTTACTCATTTAAAATGTTCAGAAGCACAGAACAACTTTAAAACTCTAAGACATATTTACTGAGTATGTGCCCTTATATCAGTAAGTGTGAAAGGCATTAAAAATTGAGAGGTGGTTCAAAGCTTCTGAGTTTGTTGGGGAAGTCAGTGTGCCGTGACAGAGACTTCATCTGCTCAGGGGCCTCAGTGCTTGGCACACCAACACACATGGCCTTTTTAAAGGGTTAACCATTAAATGTAAACAATGGCTTATAACAGAATCAATTCTGAAATACTTTCCCTTAAATCTGGAACGAAAAACATATTATATACTGCAGTAGCAATGTCATCTTTCTGCATGTATGAGTGTGTAGTACTTAGGATTGAACTATATCCCCACTGCTTTTAAGAAACTTTTTATTTTGATACTGGGTCTCACTAAATAGCTAAGTTGCCTAGGCTGGGCTCAAATTTACAATCCTCCTGCGGTACCTCCTAAAATTCTGGGATTACAGACATGTGCCATCATGCCTGGCTCCTGAATTCTTGAAGCTAGCTACATTTGTTGAATTTTATGCACTGCTGGCTTAATATTTATCTTTAAATATTTATGCAGTGCACAAAAGAAATGTGGGGATTTATTTACCCATGAAATCAAGAAAAAGCATATTTGCATGATATTTTTCAACGCTCTTAAGGAGAAAAAAATAAAAACATAAAAAGCAAAGGTCTTGACATCTAATTTACCATAAAACTGAACACTTTCGCTTGCTGGCAACAGGGATAAATATGAGTATGTGAAAAAGTCTCATAAAACCAGGTAAACATCAGTACCTTACCTTACTCTCCTGAGCCTTGTGACCAACTGTTATTTGGACAAGAGGATTTGGGTTGCTGTTTATTTTCTTCTCTGACTATTAAAAAACAAACACAAAAACAGACAAAATAAATAGGGACATTTTAGAAACACAACTTACTAAAAATGATATTAAGACTCATTTCTTTTTACCTATGATACTTCAGATACAGAAAAAGATATCTGGGAACAACTTAAATGGAAAATAATTGCTAAAAAATAATAACTGGAAAATAATTGCTAAGCACATTTGGACCCATAACTGTTTCTACTATGAAACAAATTAAGAAAATTCTATTTGCCTTTCTTTTTTATATAACTTTTTTTTTTTTGTTTCTGTTTTGTTTTGAGATAGGGTCTTGCTATGTAGTTCAGGTTGGCCTTGAATTTGCAGTGATCCTCCTGCCTCAGTCTCCTGAGTGCTGAGATTACAGGCAGGCACCACCATACCTGGCTTTATTTTTTTTGAGATGGAGTATCACTTTGTTGCCCAGGCTGGTCTCAAACTCTTGGATTCAATCTTTTTGTCTCAGCTTCCTAAGTAACCAGAACTACACGCACGTACCACTGTTCTGAGCTACATGTTTGTTTGTTTTTTTTCTCCCAGTGCTTGGGATTGAATCAAGGGCTCGTGCACTGAGTTACATTCCAAGCCTCTTTTGAATCTCTTTATTTTGAGACAAGCCCTTGTTAAGTTGGTAAAATAGGCTCAAACTTGTCATTCTCCTACCTCAGATTCCTAGGGTGCTGGCATTACAGGCATGCACCACTGCACCCAGATTGCACTCTACTTTTAAAAGTTATACTGTATTATTTTTAAGAAAGTTACTTTGGGAAAACTGAATCTTTAAAAACTTTTTAATGTTACTTACAGTTTTCAGTACTTATTAGAATAACAAAATGAATAAAGTATATAGTAAATAGAAACAAAAACATGGGAAAAGACAAAAGTAAAAGAATGGTAGTTCAGAATACTTCTCCAGTTGGAGTAATAATATGCTATAAAGTTTCAGATGCATGGTTTGCATTTTTTAATCTAGCATCCTCCTTTCAAACATAAGCAGCTATCAGACATCAAATCTTGCTTAATAGCTGCTAATGCTAATGAGAAAAGGACTTCTGTTTAGAACTGCATTAATTTAAGCCAATAAAAATTTAATAGTAAGAAGCATTCTTTAGTACAAATAGCTGATAGAAGAAAGCATAATAAAACAAAACAGATATGTGACATGAGGTTTATTTACAACTTAGCCCCACAAGAAGGTGTAGTTAAAAATCTGTTAGTGAAAATTAATTAGATCACAAAATGTTTTTTAGTAAATAATTTTAGAGTCCTCAACACTGCAGCAATAATGGAAATAGGTGTCAAAATCATATGAGTATTGAAAAAGTATTACTAGCCCAAACCTACTGTGATAATCTATTTCTGGTTCATCTTTCTGATGTGAATGAATTCTGTAAAATGAAATAAATACTGTTAAAAAAATATCCAAGGCTATAGGCTACTGTGGCAAAACCACTGATTTTTCTCTTGAATTTTCTTTCTCTTCCTTTGATGTTGGAACCCCTAAGTTTTAGCTATGGATAATTAGCTGTGAATAAAGTTCCTCCACCACCATGCCCTGCAGTCAGCATGGAGTAATGAGTTCTGGCCTTGAAGGAGGGCCTGCACCATGCCTGCCCCATCCAGGGTAGGAATGCAGACAGCAATGCAGAGCCAAGGCCATGGACTCCTGTCTTGCTTAAATCACTGCATCTGTGAATATGTGCTTGGTTTGGGGCATTGTGCAGTAGTGAGACAGTTCTTAACACCAATTTATTTTATCGCATTAACCAATTTATTTTCTTTTATACATACGTGTACATGACAAGGTAAAAAAAAAAAAATCTATGTTTATCCTAACTCTAAAAATTCTCTCAGCAAACACTATCAAATTTATAATCTTTCTCCATCTTTCCTCCATTTTTTTTTTCTCCTTTGTGGTGCTGGGGATTGAACTCAGAGCTTTTGCACTAAGCTATATCCTCAGCCTTATCCCCCAACCCCCTGCTTTTAATTTTTAATTTTGAAGTAGCATCTCATTAGATCACTAAATTGCTCAGGATGGGCTTGAACTTGTGATTCTCCTGTCTCAGCCTCCCAAAATGTTTGGATTACAGGCATGTGCCATAACACTTGGCTTTATAATCTGTTTTAGTGGTACAGAAAATAATGGTATATCTTAAAATGGATGACTTTAGATTATATAAAGTAAGGCTAAATCACTGTTTTCTACCATGACATAATATTCAAAATGTCTCAGCACAAGTCAAAGGCACAAAATATAATGAAATTATAAACTTTCCAGTCAGACTGTCTTGAATTCAAATCTCAGTTCTTTACCTCTCCATTACTGGGACATACATGTTTTGTCACCTGCATTTGTGTTTCCATCTGTAGAAGGGATGATATAATTTCCAGAATCTCAGTGTTAGGCTTCAATGTGCCAATACAGTAACATGACAATTATAACATATCCATTTTCCTGCCTAAAGCACTTTTATTTGCATTATTTTAATTTGCTCAGTAGTCCCATGGAGAAGATAGGACTTCCACTCTATAAAAAAAGAGTGAATTAAGTGTCCCCAAAGGGCAAATGGAGGAGCAGTCTGACTTCAGAGGCTTCTGGCTGACACTGCTCTCACTGGCAGGTGTCAGAGAACAAAGGATGGTGCCGGCCCAGTGCTGGCAAGTCCTCCAGCTCCGGGTGCACAGGTGCAGGCTGTATGCCTGCTGACAAGCGCTCACAGGCTCGACCCAAGGATGGAAAAGGGCTAACACAGAGCACAGCAGGAAGCAGTCCTTTCTCCTCTTCCTTCACTGTTCTCAGGGATACCATTAAAAATCATTCCTGTTTTGCTGGAAATTTTCTTAACAAAATTACATTTAAAAATCCCTTCCCCCAACTATTTAATCCTAAATGTTCAGAGAAATTGGAGGAAAAAAATAGTAAGACATTTTTAAGTCATAGAAAACTTTTGACAATTTAATCAGAAAAGGCACACTAATGTTGTGTTTTAGGTAGTGGAGCTGAGTTTTCAATACACCTCATTTAATCAGATTTAAAGTTGTAGAATGATCTATCACCCAAACCCACAGTACCAAAGCTGTGAGGCTGACTCAAGAGAGGCCGCTACTTAACATATTGGAAGAGGTGACTTCTTACACGTGTATTCATGGTTTGCAAGGTATATCTTTATATCACAGATCACCATTTCACAAACTCAAATCCAAATAAGGCCAAGAGGAAAGAATCTGATTTATCATATTGCAGCTTACCAAATTCATCTTCAAATCATCAATTCTTGGATAAACAAGTGGGATGTCCCCCACCAGACAAGTTACTGCGTCAGGGTGGAAGGAGTTTGCCACACGTGTGAGCGTTAGACACCATCTCTTTCAATATGTCTGGACTGACACTGCAACCTTGAGGGAACACTGCGTTTACCTTGAACGCTCTCTGAACCGCAGCCTTCTTCAAGACACGAGGGTTAAAGCCTAATGGGTTACTCTTTCAGGTCAGAAGAAAACGAATACACCAAGGGTTAATAAAACATGCACTGAGGAGTTTATGTAAGGTTAATGACATGAAATCTCATGAGAATAAACCAAAACAATTAAACAAAATTTCCAAGAATTACACAAGCAACCATTAAATTCCTTATGCCCAAGATCTTATCTTAGAGTGAATCTTTAATCTAGAAACATCCAAACACATTTCCTTATGTTCAATAATCTTTTTCTCCCCATCACCCTTATCCTTTGGGATTTGAAAAATGCAGGAATGAGGCTTTAGGAAAGGGCTCTGTTTATTATCCTTTGCCAAGTAAATCCCTGAAAGCATCACAACTGGTAGCCTTATATGCTACACACTTGCAGCCTCGGAGCTGTCATTCTCAAGTGTCAGATGTCACAGGTACCTTTTCCTGAAGCTCACCCTGGGTACAGCTGAGCCAAATGTGCTTGTTCTTCAAACATGCATCAAACACAGGGAAACAAGGAAGGCAGTGTAGTGTGAGGACAGGTGTGTATAAGGAGCCAAGTGAGGCCAGAGAATTGCGTAGCCTGGAGTGAGACAGACCTGGACCCTGAAATTTTTGGGCTGATGTCCAGGTCAGAGGCTCAAAAGTCAGGCACCCTGCACCCTAGCCTCTCATCATCAATGGGGCAATAGCACATGCTCTTTATTGTTTAAATGACAGCCAAAGTAACCTGCACAAAGCATCTCCACCCCTGAAGGTCTGCACAGTGGTAGCTAATATAGAGCTTCATTGTTATCTTTAAGGTAGGTACCACAAATATTGCTCCTCTCAGATAAACTCCACATACAGCATTATGAGCCTATGAACTTGATAAGATGACAGCTCATTGACCCTGTAGCTCTCTCAGTGTGCTCTGTGTTGTCTGCGTTTCCTGGTCTGGATGATTCAATGAGACACATGTGCAAATGCCTCAGAGCCCTGCCTGGATATTGGAAAGTGCTCTGAAGATTGAGTTACTACACAAGTCCACGGTTCTAATACTGCCACCACAGCCAGAGAATATCTTCACTGTTCATGCCTGAAGGTCAAGTACTGACTTGATCAAAAGAATGATGAGGGCAAAGATCTAAGCATCTATAGTCTAAAGAGGTCATTGCTAAGTATAGAGGAAAGTCCTGCTATTTTGTTTTTTCACTTGGGGATCTGGGTGGTGTGGAAACTGAAGGTATTTGTGCAAGTGGGAAGTTAGATAGCCATGGGCAGGCAGCCATCCAAAACTTTACTGATGCAGCCAGGCCTCCACCTGTCAGAATGGGCTGAGAAAATGGATCTGACTTTATACTGGAAACTGGTGGGTAACAAGAAAATGTTTGTATCTATTTCACAGAACACTTTATGTGGTTCATATATTCCAATCATAAAGTGCAATGTGACTTTGATGATACAGGAGGAAAGTTAATTTTGAGAATCCAGCAGTGTCTGTCATATGCTATATACACAAAGTAATTTGAAAATCTGAAACAAAGTCATAACTCTTTCCTTTCCCCAAAGGAAGCAGTTGTAGACTGGGAAAAGTTATTTAGAAAAGCTGCTGGGGAGAGACTATCAGAATTTACAGGGAAGCACGATCCTGTCATTTGTACTAGTTTATGATGACATTTTCCATGAAGAAATTCAGAAGCAGAAAATCATTTCCTTGAAAAAATGGAAATAAAGTGTTTGTAAGTGGGGAGGGTAGGAGGGGGTGAAGGGAGGGCAGGGATGAGGGGAAAAAAATGAGAACCAAGGCCTGTCATGTAAAGGTACAAGACCCCAATGATGAATGTAACTGTACTGTATACCTAAAATGTACCAATAAACTCAATGAGAGAAAAAAAATCATTTTCTTAAAAAAATAATAGAATATGTTGTATTATACCACTGCCTGGCTTAAACAGTGTGAGGGGACAGAACCCAGGAGGCCTGGCCCCACTTAGTACTAGTATGAATGATAGCTCACCTACCCTCCTGGGTCTTGATCTTCCTCAGCTATAAAATGGGGTAAAGAGGGCTGGGGATTTAGCTTAGTGGTACTGCCGCCTGCTTCACAAGTAACCGAGTTCGATCCTGAGTATCAAAAGGGGGGGGATACCTATTCCATTCCCTCTTTTGAGAAATACTATACAAACAGACTGAGAATGCTTGCAGAAAGCTTTTGAAAACATAAATGAAAACTACAAATTGCCAGGCATGGTGGTGCATGCCTACAATCCCAGCACTTGGGAGGCTGAGCCAGTTCAAGGTCATCCTGGGCTACACAGTTAGTTTCAGGCCAGCGTGAAGTATACAGTAAGACCCTGTCTCAAAAAACAAAAAGAAAAAAGAAAACTCCAAATCTGCAGAGCACCATCACTAGAACATTCAATGGGCAAATGGACTTTGGGAATCTCAGTAATTATTGAAGTAAACCTAAAAGTAATTTTCTAGACTAATGAGTCTGAGATCCCTAGAATCCCAGAGCAAGTGAGACAAGCCACCAACTGAGAATATCCAGCACAGGTCCAGGAATGATGGTCCTAGACATGAACATGGGGAACACAACACGTTCCTTATAAAATCAGAGTAAACAGTGTTCCATGTTCTACTCCAGAAAGTGAAGTTCCCTAAAGCAAGCTGGATCACAAGTGCAATTGGTTTCTGTTGCTATAGAGTCCGTTCTTAAGAGACCTGGGAGAAGGCAGGCTTTCACCAGGATGGTGACTCCTGTCCTCCCATGACTGTGTACATGGGCTGAAAGAAAGAGAAGTCTAACACTGCTGTGTTAGGTCAGCAGAAAAATGCAGACTCAGGAAAGTGTCATGAAAGCTTACGAAAAGATTTTACATCTCACAGTCAGAAGAAACTACAAGAAATCAATGTTAACATTATGTCTTCTTTCTCTTCAGAGGAAATTTTACTTTTTTCTGGGCCAGTAGCAGCTGTGGAATCTCAAGTTAGTTCACTCAGGTCAGATGCACTCACCAATTTTATAGCAGTGTTATATTTTAAAAAACCAGCACAGAGTAAACACAAGTAACTAAGACCATGCAACGAAATGCGCACAGCATGCACACCATTCCACATGAGCAGACTGCATGAAGTTCCAGGCCACACTCTCGCAGTTTCCACCCAAGAAAAGAAGGAACGCTGAAGGACTCACAAATAGTGCTCTATAGACTGAGGTAGTATTTTCACAAAATACTAATCCCGACGCTCGCCTCTCTTTTAATTAGCCACACCCAAAGTTTCCCTCGTAGATACTCTTAGGAAAGTGGAGATAGAGGAGAAAGCAAAGAATGGTGGATTGTGGTCAATGCACATGCACAAAAGCACAGGAAGTTGGGTGCAGAGGCAGTCAAAGGATCCTGCTGTAGGGATTGATAGGGACCCCCACACCCAACAGGGCAGTGGCTCTGCAGGATCCTTTGCCTCTGATGGCCACAGCACACTTCATCCACAAAGTGCCCTTGTAACAGAGGGTCAATCAGTACATTTACTTTGCTTCTTATTGCTATGTGGCATTACTCAAATTTCAAGTCAGTGTGACAAAATACTTCTACCAACTGGCCAAATCCTGTCCTGCAAGTTTACCAACTCTATTCAATAAATGCACTTCAATCGGGCACTGTGAAACATTATAACATTACAATATTTTGAAACAAACATTATTGTGATCCGAAGCAGAAAGTCTTAATGTATGAGAAATTCTGTAGAAAGGTTAAATAATAATTAGGTGACTTTTCCCAATTTGAAATTACAGCAGAGCAACAGATTAGATTAAAAGACTGGCCAAAGGTTAATGTAAATTCTTTCAGAGAAATGTAAGAATTTAAGAAGTTAAAATTGGTGAAGAAGACTTACTGAAAGAAATAATACAATTATAAACATATTACATAAATAAAAAGTTTAATTATATCCTCCTAGCATGAAAAAAATTAATTCTCAGTCATATTTTAATTATTAGCTTTAAGTAAAAAGTACTGATGCATAAATCATACTTATTTCATTTTAGAGCAAAACCCAGATAAATCAATAATTTTCAAAACTTGAAAGTTGCTAAATGAAACAATTTTAAGACACATAAAGAAATGGTTTATCCATGGTAAGTGGAACTATAATGGGTGAAACAATTAGCATTCAAATGTTGAAAAGGGAAAATCAAGTGATTCATAGCTTTCTTGTCTGGAAACACTACTTATTCACAAATGCACTCACATGGATGGACCCACTGATGTAGAATTATGCAATAGGCTATCTTGAGGACAGAATTTCACACTGATAGTGTATTCTTTATATGTTTTTTTGTTTTTTTGAGACAGGGTCTCACTATGCAGTTCAGGCTGGCCTTGAACTCACTATGTGGTCCAGGCTGGCCTCAAACTCCCAGCAATCCTGCCTCAGCTTCCCAGTGCTGGGTATAGGTGTGCACCACGATATCCGGCTTTATAGCCATATGCATTCTTTCAACAAAAGTGGCCATTAACAGTGAAATAAAGAATCACTACTTGGTGAAAAAGAACATTAGCACTCAAAAAAATGATCAGATAATGTAACACAGTGATGACAACACTGTCATACAGAGTGGTGTTTTAAGAAACTACAGTGGAAGATCACACTGCTAGCATGATTGAAACAACAGATTTAATTTCTCCAAGGCTGTAGCTATTAACTATAAAACTGTATTTTATATTTTTTTTCCCCAAAAGCAAAACAATTCTGATGCAAACAAACAAAAGCATATGTTTTCAGGTTATAAAACATTTTGTTTGACAGTAGATTACTCAGATGTCACTCTTTTTTTTTTTTCTGCTTGAGTACTCTGATACCTGAGGGCTCGGCACACTTGTTTAGTGGCATCAACATGCCAACCTGATTCCTCAGAACTGCCAGGACATTGAGGTTCATGCTGTAGTATCCAGCTACATTTTACCTACAGTTAGGATAAGTTTGCAGTTTGTAATCAGAATTGCTTCATTTTATTCCCATTCCAACTAGAGAAAATTGCCACCTTTTGGCAACTAAATTTTAATAACTAGAGATAAAAATCATGTACAAAGCAAATGCCAATTTATGTCTTTCTGCTGCTGTGTTTACAGTGGAAGCACAGTGAAAACACAGCCAGACAAGACTTACTGAGGTGACTCATGGAAGCTGAACAAAGCAGTGGTTAGCAAGCAAGATCTGCTGCCAGGAGAAAAAAGCTAGCATTGTGTTACCTACCGGAAGGTTTCTTGCTGAATCCAAATACAAGATCAGCAGCGCAGAAGAAAGACCATCATTGGCTTGATCTTTGTCAGCTCTGATGTCTGTCAGCACCTAGGGGAAGAAAAAGCCTTAGTGAGCATGTATCCACATGACAGTATGCTATTTCTATCTGACTGTATTCTTTCTATTGTGCTCAAGAAACAAGAAAAGTAATGAATGAAGCATCCAATTTATACAACAGACTGAGAACTGAAATAGTAAATGTCTTTTAGGTGACAAGAGTATTACAACTCAATTAAAAAGACCACTAAGGTGACTTATGGCTCTCCAAAGCCCTGCACGGAGCAAGCACAAAATTTGAAGATCTCATAAAATAGGTGTAATGATCTCTATTTTTTTCATTTTTTTAAATTCTGTCATGATAGCCAGGAATAGTGGCACACATCTGCAATTTCAGCATTCTGAGAGTCTGGGGCAAGTGCATCACAAGTTTGAGCCCAGTCTAGGCAACTTAGTGAAACCTTGCCTCAAAATAAAACATCAAAAATAAAAGGGCTGGGCTGGGAATGTAACTCAATGGCACCATGCCTGCCAGTGACCTTGCAGGCACAAGGTGCTGAGTTTGATCCCTAGTACCACTAAACAAACAAACAAACAAACAAATAAATGGGCTGGGGAGTTAGCTCAGTGGCACTGTGCCTACTGTGCAAGGTCCTGAATTCGAACCCTGGTACAGCAAAAAATAAAATAAATAAATAAATAAATAAATAGGGCTCAGGATATAGCTCAATATGAAGCTATCTCCTGGGTGCAATCCCCAGCAATGAAAGAAAAAATCTTTAATGTATCCCAACAAGACACTAAGTGACTTAAAACAATAATCAAAATTACTTGCATAATTTAAAAAAAAATCAAGTAACAGGTCAGGGATTTGGCTCAGTGGTGCCACTGCCTGCCTTGAAAGCACAAGGTCCTGAGTTCAATCCTGAGTACCAAAAAAAAAAATCAGACAGCAACACAATCTGAGACATATCCCAAGGGTCAGAAGGGTTGGCCCGTTCAGCAGACACTATGCACACCTTGTCAAGATGTGAGGCATCCGGCAGCAAGGTGAGCCACTCTAGCTTCAGGTGCAGCTTTCCTCTGGGAACCTCATCCAGAGTGAACCACTAAAGAGAAAGTGTGGAAGCTTAGAACTTCGTTCTCCTGAATCAAAACTGCACATTAAACCTCATCTCTATAAATGCTGCAAGTTCTCACTGCAAGCAGTGAACGTTCTCAACAATGGCTGTAATGAACACGCCACATAAGCTCTGTGCTCTGAATGCTGGTGACCTGCTGCTTTAAGATGACAGGGAGGGATGGGGCTGGCCAAAGCACATTGCTCCAGGACTAGAAAAGCCTTCTGCGCATGGATGCACATGGAATTTAGAGGCCAAGAGATATACAGTGAGTATCAGTATTGAGCAAATTAATATATTTGTGTCATTCATCACTATATGCCAATTAGTAAAATAATATATAGTAGTTTCGCCTCAGGCCCCCAAATAGTCAGTGGTGAAAAGGGAATACTCCAGGCCAGGCTTTATCTATTCTGTCCAATGTTGTGCTCAGCGTCTAGCACCCAATAGGTGCACAAGAAACATTTGACACACAAGTGCTGAGCATAGAACATGCAGCTCTAGAAGCAGCAGTGTCAACACTGATTAGGCTAATTAGGCTTCACTTACTGAAGTCTTACCTCTCTTTTATCTCCTTCCTGTATGATGAAATTTTCCACAATGACATCAGTCTTGTAACCTGAAGTTTTAGTATATGGTAGGTAGGACTCCTAAATTTCTTTTTACTTTGCTATTACTAAAGGCCTATACTCTTCTTAGTATTTGTGAAGAAAATGCTACTCCTATAATATTATCTAGGATCCCTGTACTGGGTGGCAGCAGTAATTTACAACTCCTTTGCTTATTAAATAAACCACACTCAGAGAACTTACTTCATCTAAAAGGCGCTCCTTCTCAACTTCAGTAAGGTCAATCATAAGACTACAGGAATAACAACACAGAAAGTTTAGAACATAGACCCTCACTTCTTACAACTGAAATAATCTTAAACATTTGTCTATGAAAAAGTACTCTAAAAAAGCAACAAAATTCTATATAATTTATCAGGAAATAGGCTATTTTCCCCAAAAGTTCCCTCCAACTTATGCCCGAGTGTCAAGAGAAGCAGGAACAAGAGCAGGATTGGATTTCTGTGAGGTCAGAAAATCCAGTTTGGCTCAGCTGAATACAGAGCTATTATAAACTAGCCCTCCTCACAGTGTATTTCACACCAAAAATGTTTAAAAATATTTCATCCTCTTATCTTTCACATTCTCCTTGCTGTTGCCACTCACCACTGTGGACTCAGTTACCCACATACTGAATTAGAACTCCCAGTCCTCTGCAGTGTTGGCTCAAGTCTCACACAGGCATGTCCAAGAGAAAACCTGCTCTAGTTCTCCTGAACAGTCCCACTCTAAGTCACGGATGGCACCAGTCCCATAGGAGCCAGAGTGACTATGATGGAAGATTATACCTGTGCTTTTCTTCAGCATGTCCTGAACTCTGTGCAACTACCTGGATCTTGTTGCACCAAGGATCATCAGGCCCTGGCTGGTCTGTAGCTTGCAACCCACATGTTGACTGTGCTACCTTGCATGTTGATCTGTGCTCATCCTCTTTAAATCGCTCCTGGCTGTGCTGTTCCATTTACACAGCCATGGACTTTGCAGCTAAAACATGTGATGACACTCTGGACGAGGCATAAACCTCTGCAGAGTCTTGCTTTCTTATGCTCTTTTTACTACAATAAATTCAGTTAAATAGTAAAGATTACATTGAGGTGTACCTGTCAAAACTCATTTTCCTTCAGCTCTATTAGTTGTTCAAATGAAGTAAACAAATCTATATTTATTTCTCCCTGTGGTGGCACAATGTAAATTATATTTAAACAAACTAAAAAAGTTTAAAAACCTATCTTTATAATCAAGGACATGTCTGTGAACTCCCTGCACCAGGGTAGGTTCTGCATATAGCAATGCACAGTTGTATTTGACTGATTCTAATTGATTTTGTGAAGGACCTGGATAGTGATCATTGTAACAGACAACCAAGCTAGAAATTTGTCTTCTCTTCAGCATACTATTTTAGTAATAAAAATGTTTTAAGAAATCTAAGTGAAACAAAGGTATCTAAGAACTGTTTAAAATGTATATATATAAATATAATTTTAAACTTGTATTTGTTAATGTGATTAATAGAGGAGTACTCCTGTGCTTTCCCAATAACACAAGGGCTTTTCTTCACCTTCCTAAGAAGTCATCTTTGTCTGGATCTTCATCAAAAAGCTCAATTTCCAATTCTTGTCCAGGGTGCTCATAGACTAAAGCCTAAAAAGAAAAAAATCAATGGTGTGTAGTTAATTTTTACTGATATATCATCTGTTAAGTATGGTCATTACAGCAAGTACACATACTTCTTTTACATATATTTTTCTCTAGCAATAGTTTTTAAAAGCACTTAAAATTTTTTATTGTCAAACCACCCTTGATAACTGGGCCATCTGAAATTCCTGCCATATAGGAACAGTCTTCTGAGCTTGTTTCTAGACATCTGAATTACATCTCAATGGGTCAAGAACAATTCCCCCAAACCAGGCCAAAGATATTACCTACAGCCTGTCCATGGCCTGGGAAGAGTGAAGACAGAGGACACATTACCTGAGCCCTCAAGTGGCTCCACTCAGACAGAAGCCCCAAATAACTGCAAGTCACCCACTTACCACTCAGAACATAGGGAACTGGCCAGACTTAGGCTGAGCAAGGATGGAAGACAGGAGCTGAAGAGGCATGCACTGCATTACTGTTCTGAGGACAACCCTGTCCTTTAAAAACCTGTGCCTTGGAAAAAGGAACTTCTCTACACTGTTGGTGGGAATATAAACTAGTATAACCACCATGGAAATCAGTGTGAAGATTCCTCAAAAGACTAAAATTAGAAATTCCAAGGCCTTGGATTTAGCTCAGTGATTCTGCCACCTGCCTCGCAAGTGCAAGGACCCAAGTTCAATCCCTGGTACCAAAAAGAAAGAAAAAAAATTTCCACTGACCCAGCTATTCTACTTCTGGATATCTTTCCCAAAGAATTAAGAAGATCTATTACAGTGACACATGGACGCCTATGTTTATAATAGCATAATTTGTAATAGCTAAAGGTTGGAAGTGGCCTATGTCTATGAACAGATGAATAGATAAAGAAAATGTATTTACACACAATGGAGTACTACTCCACCAGTACCAGAAGGATAAACCCATCATTTGTAGGAAAATGGATGTACCTTGAAACCATAATATTAAGTAAAATAAATCAGACACACAAGCTGAAATATTGTAATTTCCCTTGTATGAGAACTCCAAGGCATAAATAAAGACCAAAATAAAAGACAGATAATGGGAAGCGAGGAAATACACCTTCCTCAAAGGGGAAGAGGATCAAGAGATGGAGGGGTGAAAAAAGGAATTAAGATATGTTGTATCAACTCCCCACAAGCAACGTAAAAATTATACACTACAAACATACACTAATAAATGATCTGAAAAAAAGAAAGAAAAAATCCCACACATTTTGATCCAGTGGCTTTATGGTGAGGAGATACAAGTGAAGAAAAGCACATGTGCATCACTCTTGTACAGTGCTGTGCACACTGCAGAGTAGTGGGCCTCCCCAGTAGCCCCCTTCAGTGGGGATGTCATCAAACATCCTGTGGGTCTCTGCTCACTGACACAAAGGATGAACAGCAAATGTGAAGTTCACAAAGCAGTGCAATCTCAGTTCTGCATGTGTCTGTGCATTAGTGGCCACACAAAACAGTTCAAAATTAGGATAAGAAAGGCCATTCATATTATGAAAAATATTTTGCCACCTTGATAGCAATTCACCTTGACAGCAATATACAAGTATGGTTTACAAATCACATGTGTTCATATAACAAGAATGTTACATGGTAGGGAGAAAAGGTACAGTATCTTTTAGAAGATGGAAAATTAAACCAAAGAAAACTTAAATGATGGCCTAAATCTATGGCACTCTTGTGGGATAGACCTGGAACTGAAAGCTGACACCACCCCAACGCAGTGCACCACTTACCTCGTACACCTCGTTCCACTTTGGACTGAGGTTCTCTTTGATGACCTTGCTTTGGAAGATTTGGTTGCCCACACGGATAATTCCATAGGGGTCTGATTTTCCCTTGACCAGGCCCTTGAGATAAGTATCTTTACCCTGAAGATCCTGAGCTTCAATGAAATGTATCCTCAGAACACCCTGAAAGAAGGGCAAACATTTAGACCACTCAGAGACTCACTTATGGAGGATGGGAGACACCTGTGTATCTGACCCTATCCTAAGAAACGGGGGTTAAAGGATAGGAAAGACTTTGCTGTCAAGCAGCATGTGTCCCAGCAGGACAGCATTGGTGTGACAGGTCAGGAGATGAGTACTATGAAAGATCACAATATCTGCGTGATGCTAACTAGACTGAAGGACAGACACCTCAGCAAAGACAGAGGTAGCTACATAAATACCCATAGAGCCCATGGCAAGGGACATGCAGGGAACGAGTCACGTGACACCCCAAAGCCCATGACACAGGGAACACTGAGCACAGAGGTCAAAGCATGGTAGTGTGCTCAGCTCCAGGAAGCCACAACACAGCTCAAGTAGATGTCCAAAACGTCCCATGGTGTAGTCCTCAGTAGTGGTAGCTAATGTGGTATGATGTGTCAGGCCTGCTACTAAGTGCTTAATATGCCACTCAGTTTTTTGAACAATTCTATGAAATACTGTCAAGAGATCTGTTTTGTGAGGAGAAAACTAAAATATGTATGTATTACTCATTAACTTTAAAAACAAGTCCTTTTTTACAAATAAAATAAACATTTACTCCTACTTTCATGGCAAACAAAGGTGGTAGAGGCCAGCAGGTTAGCATCCTACCCCTCAAACTATTAAAAAATCAGCACAGGAAGACTAGCATCCCTATAGGTGAACATACTTGAAGCTGGGTAAGTTGGACCACACCTCTAATCTCAGCTACTTGGGAGGCTGGGGCAGCAGGACTGCAAATTCAAGGCTAGCCTGGACGATGTAGTGAGACCTTGCCTCAAAATTATTTTTTTAAAAAATGAAAAAAAAAAATAATGTAAGAGAGAGCCGGGGATATAGCTCAATGGTAGAAAGGTTGCCTAGCATGTGTGAAGCCACAGATTCACTCTCTAGCACCACAAAAATAAATAAGCCCAAGTCTATTTTAGCACTCTTTGAGGCTAGCTGAGGCAGCAGAATCACAAATTTGAGCCCAGCCCACACAACCTAGCAACTTGGCGAGACCCTGTCTGGGGGGAAAAAGTTTTAAAAGGGCTAGGGATGTAGCTCAACGTGAAAGCCGTAGCTTCAATCCTCAGTATTAAATAAAAAATAAATGTTCTTTTTGTTTATATTTTTGTATGAGTAAAGCTGAAATGATCTGGCTATATATATCTTTTATCAATGCTGGCTTTTAAGCCCCTAGAGTTACGGGTGGCTGGACCCAGGGCTCACTGTACTCAGGGCACAGAAGGCCCACATGACAAAGGGGCATGAAGTGTCCTACCTGTGAGGGTAAGGCCTGCATCCTCAGGATGACTCCTGAGTTAGGGAAAAAAAAAGACATTCTCTTCTAATAGGTAGTATCACATTAAATCTATTTAATGCCAACAATATAATTCAGACATCAAATTAAAAAGTGTTACTCTTTAAAAAAATGTGAAGATGTAGCTTATGCATGGCTGTCCATCTGTGTACTGAGACCTAATTTAATCGTAAAGAGTAAAAGCTATTTCCACTTCAGGAAATAAAAACAAAGACAATATGCCTGCTGAAATAGCATAGACTTGGCTCCCACTTCAGTGTGCCTCAACATTCTAGCCCTTGCTGGCAATAGAAGCAAATCCTGTTCCTGGTGGCAAGCCTTTACGGGCTGAGCACAGAGGGACTCCAACATGTGCAAACTTACAGATGTGGAAGCTGAGGCCCCATTATATGAGTGCCTCTCTGTCACTTTCCTTGTTAAATGACTCCAGAGGTGACCACATTTCAAAGTCTGAGAGAAAACTTACACACAAATCCTATTAAAATTCTCATGGTGTCAGCAGTCTCACCTGGCTTGATACTAAGAACTGCCACATTTTAATAAAAACACAAACAGTATGTGCCTTCTGAAATAAACAGGCTGTGTGCTCACAGCTATCATCATCACGACTTGCAGAAGCATTTTCAGAATCAGCCCTACCAAAACCCAGAGGAATGCGGCCAAGGCTTAAGAACCACCCCACACTGTGGGGGCAAAGGCAATGAGCAGCAGGACCATGGCTAATACTGCACTGAGATGCTGTCAGGAGAAACACAAGATGTTACAGAATCCCTGCATAATGCCCACACAGTTGAAATGGTGCTCGGTATGTTTTCCAGTATCACTAGATGCTACAGCACACTTACCTTTGGTATAGGAAACCGCAACTGAGCTATCTGAACTTCACTGACAAGAGGAACAGTGATTCGATTGGGAAGCACCAGATAGTTTGATATTATATCCAAGATGATAGTATCAGATAAGCCACTGTGAGTTGGGAAGTAAAACACAAAATAAAAAAACAGACATCAATACTTGCTGTCATCTTTAACAACAAACATACCACAAACATGACATTCATTTACAGAATACTGTAGTTGTTTGAATTATCAAAAACAGTATTTAAAGCCAGCAATCTTTTCTTCTGATATTGGAAATGGAACCCAGGGCCTTCACACGGACTTACATCCCCAGCCCTTTTTAAAATTTTAAGACAGGCTTCAATTTATTATTTTCCTGCCTCTGCCTCCCACAGTACTGGGATTACAGGCTGGTATTTCAGTATTTCAGCTCAATACTACTAAGGTTAGAGGTAGAATGTTTTTTTTTTTGTACTGGGGATTGAACTCAGGACCTTGCACTTGCAAGGCAGGTGCAGTGCTGCCATGTTAAATCCCAGGCCCATCGAGGTAAAATTTATCCTTACAACACAAAGTAAATTTCTAGCCACATTTGATAGTTTCCTAAATAATTTTTCACTCACTCCTCAAAACTTCACCATAGATTTAACATTGAAGAACTAAGATTATTTTTAAAAACATATTTCAAACATATGTAAAAGTGCAGAGAATACTATAACAACCATTAACCCATTCCATGTTTATACACAAATTTCTCTTTACTGTTGTATGCTAGCTCCCAATGAAATAATTTAGTTTGCTCTCTTCATATTAATACTAATAATTTGGTTCTACTATATATTTATATACCACTGAACACCTAATTTAAAATATTAGTAAAACTGCTTAAAGGAATTGTTCACCTCTTTAGGGTAAATGTGAGAATTAAATACTATTCACGTGACAACTTTTGAAAGCATAAAATGCAAATTTCATTGCTATAGAACAGCTTTGCCTGAACTGTGAAGTTCATAAAGGACCACAGTTCTTGCCAGTTAGGTACTAAATTGTTAACATACACATGTAATTACATGTTTAAGAATGCCCACTTACGAGTAAACACCATCATCTCCATTCACTAAATGATAACTGAGCACCTGCTGCCAGATAGACAACCACCTGTGATGACAAGACAGACTTAACAGGCCTCTTTGCTTAAATGGAGAAAAAGACTTTAAAGCTCTCCAACATGGAAGCTACATCCAGAGCTGCTTTCCAAGCACAGGTGAGCTTTCTGAGGAGGGGTCAGGTGGGCCAACTTTTGCTGCCATTTTCCCCCTAGGCTTGCCTCTCCTCTAACACCCTTGCACGCTCCCGACCACTGGGTGCAGTGCTGCTCCTGGCCTTCCACGCAGCATCGTCCAGCTGGGTGACTTTCTAGGGAGGCATTGTTCCCAGTTTGTCCTTCAGAACTGTTCCTGCTCCTCACCTTCTCTCTGACCTTCATGGAGACAGAGTGTTCACGTTCTTTGTAACCAGTAAGCACAATGTACAGGTGCCCATTTTGTAAAGCCTACGGCAAACTTCATTGTATTGGCTCACAGCTATTGAATGACGTATCTCTTTGTGGGCTACTTAAAACATGAAGCTTGCTACGTCTGATTCATTTGATAAAGTCTTTAAATGAGAACCAGGAGCCCCAATTTTTATATTAGAGGTTACATTTTTATTACACAACATTTACATAATTATGTATAAATTACACATAATATATATAAACATAATTTTGTTTTAAAGAGATATTTCTATGGGGCCTTTTATACCACAGATAGTTAATTTTTAAGTGATGTATTTTTCTCTCTTATATGTAATACACCTAAGTATATATACTCAATGATAGAATTCTATATAATATACAGAAATATATACTTTTATATTGCATGAAAGATCTATAACTATAAATATCTAGAAACTACTACTATGAAAAAGACCTGCCCACATATGATTGAATAAAATGAAGCTAGATGTGTATTGATATATACACATGTATGTCTATTGTGTGTATGCACGAATATCTCTTTTAAATACAATGGCCTGGGGCTGACCACAAACTTGCCAGGACACAGCACAGGCTGTCCAAGGTGACCCTTCCAGGTGGTTAATACAATGTGAGCAGCAGAGTAGATGCTCAACAGACTATTTCAGTCCTCCTATGACACTGAAGGAAGCCAAGAGAATGAACTCTGCAGAGTTACCTGTTATTTCTGCCTGGCTTACCTTTCTGTCCTCCACTAGGCCCAGTGGAAGTTTTCCCTTTGGGGATCCCCCTCACTGGGGTTTTGTCTTCTCTAAGGCTACACATGAGATCCAAACCTAATCATCAGAATCATGGAAATCTGTCCAAGATAGGTGGACATATATGAGCTAGCCCTGGCACTTTTGCTGGAACTAGTGGGAAGGGTTATTTTCCAATTAATACAGTTTGCAGAGTAGAAGCTGGCAGGTGCTGCTGTCATGGACAGAGCCTGCATGAAGACAAGCTGCAGGGACTCATCCTATCTGAGGCAACCACTGCACAGAGAACCCTGCAGTGTCCCTGGGCACCAGTACCTGTCTGTGCCTCTGTGAGGGACCGGATGTAGCTCAGAGCAAGCTCTCAAGTCATGGCCACATGTCTGCTGAGTGACCAAACTGCCTTAAAAATATCTCTTACTAGACTGAGGATGTAGCTTCATGGTAGAAGATTTGGTAGTAGACTTGCCTACTATGTGCAAGGTCCTGGGTTCAATCACCAGTAGTGAAAAAATATTATGTAGTTAGCTCTTCAAGATCATTTCAGTTGGTGTAACTGGTTAAATATGAAGTATGTCCCAAAGACTCAGGTATGAAGGCTTGATTCCCAAGGAAGCAAGAGGTGGGGACTAGAGAGTGAATGAATCAGTAGAGTGCTAATCTCATGACAGATCAATCCAGTGATGAGACCTTGCTGAGTGGGCTGCCAAGAGGTGGGCCCAATTGGAGGAAATGGGTCACTGGGTGGGTGCATTCTTGTCTTCTGCCTCTTTCCGTCTAAGGCTCTTTCCTCTAACTCTGCTTTCCTTCCTTCCTTCCTTCCTTCCTTCCTTCCTTCCTTCCTTCCTTCCTTCCTTTCTTTTTGGTACCAGGGATCGAACTTGGGTCCTTGTGCTTGCGAGGTAGGCGGTGGAAACACTGAGCTAAATCCCTGGCCCAAACTCTGCTTTCTGATGGCCACAAGGTCAGCTGCTTTCCTCTACTAAGATGCTCTGCCTTGTCACAGGCCTAAAGTGATGGAGCGAGCCAACCATAGTCTGAAACTCCTAAAACTGTGAGCCACAAAAACCTTTTCTCCTTTAAATTGTATATGCCAAGCCAGGCATGGTGGCACACACCTGTAATCCCAGCACTCAGGAGGCTGAGGCAGGAGGATCGTTGTGAGTTCGAGACCAGCCTGGGCTACAAAGTGAGCTCCAGGTCAGTCTCAACTACACAGTGAGACCCTGTCTCAAAACCAAAAGAAAAAAAAATAGATTGTATATGCTATTTATTTGATCACAGTAATGAAGAGCTGACTAACAGGGTTGGGTTTGTTGTCTGTAACCACAAATCCTAAAGAACACTTTCACAAATCATTCATTCATTCATTTATTCATTCACTCATTGAGGCAGGGTCTCACTGTGTAGTTTGGGCTGGAATGGAATTCACTATGTGGCTCATGCTGGCTCAAATTTGCTGCAATCCTCCTGCCTCAGTTTTCTGAGTGCTGGGATTACAGGTGTGCACCACCATGCCTAGCTTAGCAAATCTTTTAAAGTTATACTTTTCTTTCTACAGATCTCTTAAAGAAAACAGTACTTTTCTATATTCATTAAACCATAGTGCCTAAAATACTTTTTATTTATGATGGTGCATCAGATTGCTAAAGTTATAATTTTTCCTAATAATGAAACAAATTAAAACTTTCTCTAATGGCCATTTCAGAGGCAAAAACAAACACACAGGAATAAAAAAATTTGCTTAAAAATCAAACTTTCACAACTTAATTTCCAAACTGTTTTAGGAAAAAATATCCATAGGGAAGCCAAATACTAGAAACATGTAACTTTAGCCAATAAGTAATGCATGTTAATCTTCAAATAGTAAAACCAGTAAAGATAAGTTTAGAAGGTTGTAATTTCACAACTTCCTGTTTGACCATGGCCTGCCAGGTCTGTGCATCTCAGCTGGATGGGCTACGACAGTAAGGACATGCCCTTCAGTGTCAAGTGACTACTGGAGGCATTTTTCTTGGGTTTTCAATACTAAGTTGTACAAGAGGAGAAGGAACTCCCTGTGGGATGGAACAGAAACTTCACACCCATTCTCCATTCTGACACCATTCTTTTCAAAGAGGGGCACGTAAGGGAAGGAGCAGCTCAGGAGGAGCACAGGGTTGGGTTTTAAACACAGACTCATTTTCCAAGTTTTCTCTATTGTTTATATGAAAACCAAATTAAATTTTTAACTTACAGAACATGAAAAGGCTGGTACTTTTCTAAAATGCTACCACTAGGAAGATACCTTGAGATAAACAAAAAGCAAAGGCAGAACACAGTGCTCTAAGACACTCCTGAAACCATTCCACTTTTGTTCACTGGACCAAGTAGTTTTATACAAAGGAGAAAAAACTCAACTCTGCTCTTTGCTGGTTTCTCCAGAGAGCCTGGGGAGGCACTTGTTCTACTTGGCAGATGTAAGTATTGTCCTTCACCTTTCTCATGTTGTTTTTAGGACCCTTAAAAAGCTATGACCCCACTTCCATACTGTGCAAGGGCCCACAGAACTCACTTCAATCCAGGGATGTCCAGAAGATTGGTCAGTCCCGTCCAGTTAATCTCTAAAAGCTGTTTTTTAAAAAGAGCAAAAATAATTATCTAAGCTGTTTCCAGTTATCAATTAAAATACACACAGGTTCTTTTTTTGGTATGAAAAAAAGGAGTGGTTACAGAATACTGTCTTGTACCTTTTTCAAGGCTATCTTTCCTATCATTACTGTGATCGGCTTCTGGTTTTGTTTTTTGATGATACTATAGTTTTCCGTAGTAAAGTCATACAATAATTTATTTACCCATCCACTTAGGGACAGACACTTAAGAGTATCTTCAATGTCTCTCTCATTATAAGAAGTCAGAGACCACCTTTTTACATATATGCTTTTGCATACATAAGCAGACTAGCATTCAAAAAGTTGAATTTAACACATTTGCAATGGATCCATATAATTTCTATGACTCGCTGCTGGGCCACTTGTACCGCTAGAAACTACATGTATCACTATTTCATTGGGCAGCCCGGGCTACCTGATGGAACAGTCATGCATGTAACACAAGTGAATCAAGCCAGTGAGAATGTGTTAAGGCCAAGATTTATGTTTAATTTCAGTATTAGAAAATGATACCTAACTGGCCTCTAAAAACACTATACAAATTTATATTCTCACAAAAGGGTACAGAAATATCCTTTTCCCAAACTTCATCAAAAAAGATATTACTGAAATTCTACTTTACTCCACAAAGAATGGTAATCATCAAGGACTCAAATAACAAATGCTGGTGAAACTAGGGGGAAAAAGGAACACTTCTACATTGTTGGTGGGAATGTAAACTAGGAAATGCACCATGGAAATGAGTATGGAGATTCCTCAAAAAACTAAACATAGAAATTCCATTTGATCTAGCTATTCCCTACTAGGTATCTTCCCCAAACAGTTAAAGATATATTACAGTGATATATGCATACTCATGTTTATAGCAGCACAATTCAAATCAGCTAAATCTCAGAAGCAGCTTATATGTTCATCAACAGATGAATGGATAAAGACAATATAGTATTTATACACATCGGAGTACTACTCTGTCATAAAGAAGGACAAACGAGTCATTTGTTAAAAAATAGATGCCTCTTTAGATCATAATGTTGAGTGAAATAAATCAGACACACAGACTAAATATTGAATGGTTTTTCTTACTTGAGATACCCAAAATATAAACAAAGAACAAGCTAAAAGACAAAGGAAGTAAGAAGACAGATCTTTCTTTTTTTTTTTTGGTACCGGGGATTGAACTTGGGTCCTTGCGCTTGCAAGGCAGGCCACCGAACCACTGAGCTAAATCCCCGGCCCCAGACAGATCTTTCTTAATTGGGAAGAAGATCAAGAGATGGAGAGAGAGACAGTGAGAGGAGAAAGTGATTTAAAAAGGAATTAAGATGTGTACGTCCATGTACCAACTTCTCACAAGGAACGTAAACATATACTACAAAATGTATTAATAACAAGTTTTTTTGAAACATTAAAAATCAGCCTTGTAGATGCGGAGGGGAGGAGGGGGTGAAGGGAGGGCAGGGACAAGGGGAAAAAATGAGAACCAAGACTTGTCATGTAGAGGTACAACATCCCAACAATGAATGTAACTGTACTGTATCCCTAAAATGTACCGATAAACTCAAAGCTGAAAAAAAAAAAAATCAGCCCATCTGGCAGTTAAAAAAAAACTGATACCATGTTTTAATTTGCATTTTCCAGCTGGGCATGGTAGCGCATTCCTGTAATCCCAGCACTGGGGAGGCTGAGGCAGGAGGATCACTGTGAGTTCAAGGACAGCCTGAACTGCATAGTGAGACTTTGTCTCAAAACAAACAAACAAACAAACAAAACCCCAAAACAAAAAAAAAATTAAAAATAAAATTAATTTGCATTTTCCTATGAGTTAAACATATTTTACCCTTTTATTTCACATTTGTACTTACTTATCTCAGAGTAATTCTCACATAGTTATATTCTATTAACTGGACATCAACTAGTTAAAAACAATGATTAGAAATACTGCTTTGAGGGGTTGGGAGGGGAAAGACTGCTTTTCCTATCAAAATAGACACATAATACAATTATGCTGGAGACCAGCCATGATACATATAGATTGGTGAGGGCCAGATTACAGACCCACAGTCCTGAGGTCCAAGGCCTCGGGAAGAGAAGTATGCTTCCTGCCTGTTTGGGAAAGCCATAAACACAGTGTTCTGAGGTAAGATAACATTCTGCTGAGGGAAATATAAAATGCAAATATCCTGGTATGGGGAAGGACCTTAAATCTTGCTCCACTTGGAGATGCTAAACTTGGTCTCTATGTTACTATTCTAATCTTACTGCCGTCACTGTTTCAAAAATAGAACATTACCACCTCCTTTATGAGCCTTGCTGAGAGAGGGTCTACCATAGAGTTCAGGAAAGTCTGTCCACTAGAGACAGATTCCTCCAGGTCCCCCTTACATATTGAATATTGTTTCTGTCTCTTTGTCTTATTCCACATCATTCTCCCTACAGGTATTTGGGGGTCTTAAGAGCTCCTGATAAATGACAACTGAACAGGAACTTGAGACCTGAAGGGAGAGGCCCACCTGAGTGTGAAAAGAGTAAAACAAATGATGGGGGACTCGTGGGGCAACTTCAAAGATGGCCATACAAAAGCAAGGAGTAGTGCCATGGAAAAGCTTTTCCAAACCAGGATAATGGGGCAGAATTTGTCAGTAAAGGAACAAAGATGATATGTTCAGTTGGAAAAAGACAACAATGAAACAGTCTGAGACTCAGGTTAGTTTCTACTTTCTTTCAAAAATGCTACAAGACATTATCAAACATAACATGTGGTTTCTACAGAGGGGAACGTTTTTCGTCTTCTTTGGTTGAGACAGGGTCTCATTACATAGTCCAGGCTAGACTTGAACTTGCAATGATTCTCCTGCCTTAGCTCCCCAAGTGCTGGGATTAGAGATGTGTGGCACCATCTCTGGCAGACAGGTAAATTTAGATGTAGAAAACTGAAATAGAGTAGATAAAAGTCTAAGGAGAGCTCGTGCCTGAGGAGAACAAATTATCCCTGATATTTTTTCAGCATGGAGTCTTATAAAAATATATTAGGACCCCTATGTATTACGGTGATTAATACAACTGCCATTGCTTTCCTTGAAGAGGTAAAGGAGAAAGACCCTGAGAAGAAAAAAACCTCTCTCATAGTCCATGCCTCCCAAGATTCCTGAGGCAAGCAGAGGCCAATCCTACCTGTATAAATATTAGCAACTTGTTCAGCAGGCTATGCTGGCAGGAGATCTTATCGTGCCCTGTTGTTTTCTTGTTATGACCAGACAGGATTCCAACAACTGATGAGCGCGTGCGCGCGCGCGCACACACACACACACACACACACACACACACACCCCACACACGTGTGGGGTGTGTGTGTGTTTATGTGTATATATAAAACTTTAAAACAAAATATAATAAATAGCATTCAAAGACCTTTTTTGGGGGGGTATTGGGGATTGAACTCAGGACCTTGTGCTTACGAGGCAGGTACCACCACTGAGCTAAATTCCCAGCCCTCAAAGACCCTTTATATTAGGTTTATTAAGATTTATTCTGGGGATACTCGAGATCCTAGCACAGAGACTGAATGCTGTGTTCGAGCCCCAATGCCTGCTGTTATAGATTGTGTGCTCTGTGTAGCAGGGAAGAAAAACATGGGCCAGTCCCAGGACAGGTCAGCCCCACCTTGGGCCTAGATAACAGGATCAGAAGGCTGCAACAAGTCTTACCATGCATACGGTGGTTACAAAAAAAATTAAATTACAAATTTTAGATGAATATACTTTTGGTTTCCAATTTAAATTGATGTTCAATTGGTGTGTTAAAAACATTTCTTATACAACTTTTTAAATTATAATTATAGGATTAACTTAAAGTTGTTTAAAAATCTGTTAACAGCCAGTCAAATTAAAAATATAACAACCTAGGGATTTAGCTCATGGTTTCGCCGTGTTTCTGCTGCTGCCTGCCTCACCTTGCAAGTGCAAGGACCCAAGTTTGAACTCGGGTACCAAAAACAAAAACAAAAACAAAATAAAACAAAAAGAAAGACATTTTGAAATCCAAGAAGCTACAATCAAGTTTGTCATAAAAGATTTAGAGTAAGTGAGCCAAAAATATTAAAAACGCTATAAATAAGAGATATGAGAGGATTTTTACATGATCAAAAGTTTTTATGTTGTTAAAAAAGATTAAAAAAATGAAAAAAAGATAAAAACACGACAAGGCTATAAAGCTTATATTTGTCAAAAAATAAAAAAATAATTTATCAAAAAATGTTTGAAAAATACATGTTTGGTTGGATAAAAGCCAATGCTATTCCTTCGAAAAGCTCTTTGTTGTTCAAAAATATATATGGTTGCTTGTTTATTTGACAGAGCTCAGATTGTTCCTAAAACAAAAGTACTTGAAAAAATGATTTACATCACAAGAGAGCAAATATTTTAAAAAGCATAAAAACCCACCCCATAAAAAGGGGGGTGGTGGCTACCTCCACAAGTGTAATTAGATCTTGCTATTTTCAACTTTAAATTTTTTTGAACCCGCTTGTAGAAAATAAATGTACTACATCAGAAATCCATTGGCACAAGGACAAATCTAGAAACACACCCTAGGCAAAAGTGTTGTAAATGGATATCCTAACTAAATGGCCCAGTGCAGTTAATAATGTGGGGATGAGGGTATGCTTGTGTACTAACAAATAATAAACACTGTTACAGGTGCCATCCCTAAACATACAACCACAGAGAGAAAAGATTCCCAGATCTATGGTAAAATCTGCTGCCCCAGCCCCACCAGTACAAGCCTTCTCACAGATACAATCTAACTACTGCTTGTCTGTTTATCCACAAGTTTAGATGGCCCATTATAAAAAACAATTCCTGCAGTCTGGGTTCCAGCAAATCTATGAAACCAAGAACACCCCTGCTGTTCATTTGTTACAATCTCTGATTGACTATCTTGTACAACGAATAAAAAAGATGT